ACAACAACACACACACACACACACACACACACACACACACACACACACACACACACACACACACACACACACACACACATATATATATATATATATATATTAAATATCCATAACAGAAAGACAGTATGAAAATCTATATTAAAAATCTCTGCAGATGCTACACTTGGAAAAGTACAGTACAGATATACAACCAACAGCGACGGTACTAACCTCCACCCCGTCTAATAAACCCGCAGGAAGATGACTGAACTGATTGACAGCCCTCAGGAAAGTCATATACGAGTTTGCCACACTACAACCACATGTCAATATATAAATAGTACAAAACAAAATATATCAGGATGAACAATCACAACGCACATCACATACCAGTTTGATGCACCACCAGGGATTTGTAGTTCACATCCTAGTTTGTCTACAACCATATGTCATTCTATAAATAGCACAGAACGAGAATACACCAGGATGACCTATCACAACGCACATCACATACCAGTTTGATGCACCACCAGGAATTTGTTTGCGTTCCCAGGGTAGGCAACGATCTTCAACGGACTCGGAACATCACTCGGTTGCTGTCCAATCAGCCTTCAGAATAACAACACATACATGCACATAGGTCCAGACTCGTCAGTACGAGAGTAAGTAATATATATATATATATATGAAATATCTATAGCATATAAAAGAGATGGATGCATACATACAGCGGGGTGGTCTGAAACACCCGATCCGGGATGTGATTAAGCATGAAGCAATGGATCTAACAATTGAACCAGGTTGAACTCATCAGGGACGCGTCGATAAAACAGTCGGCGGCTATTTCTGGTCGTTCGATACGCAAGCATACATTCCTAAAAAATTTAAAAGCATACAGTCTTATACTATATATAGGCATGTAAGTGCTTTAGTTTCGGCCACATACTGTTCCACGCAGATCGCAAGGTTATCCTCGGCGTTCGCTGTAAGGGAATAGAGGCAACATTACTACTTTGTATAGAAACTATATATAGAATTGATAGTTGGTAGTGCTCAAACGCTGGACGCAGCTGCCAAATAGGTCATTCAGTGTTAACTACCTATGTATCAATAGAGGCATGTGCTCAATCCGAGCTTAAATAAGAACACATGCCAGGGCAACAATACTACTATAAATATACACTGTTTATAGAATTGAAATTCGGTAATGCGCGAACGCCACAATCACAAGGGATCCAGCTGCCAAATGGGTCATTCAGTGTTAACTACCTATGTATCAATAGATGAATGTATTTCATCGGAGCTTAACTAGAGCACATGTCAAGGTCAGGGCGTATCTACCACCCTATCCCGATAAACAAGTCCGTTCGAATGCGATGACCTCATATTCGCTGAATTACCCAAGTTATTTGACTACATCTCACGAGTAACCTTCCCATAGTATACATACTTTGTTTCTCGTTCTGCCGAAATTTGAATCTAACCCTATAAAATAATAGGTGTAAAGATATGAGATACACCTTAGTACATACTTTGCGTTGAGTTGTCAACCGGCGCCGTGGCGAAGGCATCAACCACTGACATGCCCGAATAGCAGTACGAGGATACGTCGGCTGCAGCCACCCCACAGAAATCATTCCCAGTAGGGTATGCTTCCGCCAGAGTAGTTCCATTTCCTGCGTAGTAGGGAGCATGGGTGAGTTATATACCTATGCGAGAACAGAAAGCCTTGGGCACATACGTATCAATTCACCACAACAAAGCTGAACTTTACTATACCCTCTCGTATAGATGGATAAGTAGAGGGTCAAAGTATGATAGAGCCTTCCGAGCAAAAGTATAGGCGATATCTCAGACTATGACCCACATCAAGAAGGACAACCTCAGATACCTAATACACGCTCACACAACCACATATGGTAGCACAGACCTGTGTAATTTGACCCCACAAGGGATCTTAAGCTGACGATGCTTTCATTCTTGCAGGCTTCATAAACCATACTACAGTACGCCTCGCACAGCATAGGGACCTGCGACAAGTGTGAACATAGTACACTCTCAGAAGAAAAACCAAGTTCAAAGTTTCACAAACCACGTGTGTCCAAGTGGTCAAACCATCGAAGTGGATACCAACACAACCTTAGCATTGATACTCAATTGGAAACACACACTAAGAAAATTCGAGGCATTTTATCCCAAAGTATTGTGGCCTCGCTGTCTCTGAGATTTTAAAAAGCACTACAGCTCGGCGTAGAATTCGAATGGCTTACCTTTCGATCCTCAAACGTCTCAGTGCCAAAGAGATGGGCGGAGTACTGGTCACAGGATGAGCATAGTATTTGCTTCAGGTAGGATTGGCACTCAGGGTTTACTATTGTCAATGCGGCCGCTGGTTGCGCAAAACAGGCAATTGCATGAGAAGACATACCAAGAACCTTATAGATGAGACGGGATAGTTCTCCGTTCCACCTCAATGTAGTTAATTAGACTCATCAACCTGAGGCGACGGTATAACTAATTAAGGCACGAGGTACGCCAGTTGTGCGTTTGGAATTGATGGGATTTACGGTATATATGACTCAACAGTGCAGGCAGACACCCATGGGACGGTGCAACACAGCAATATCAGACTCTCCTTATTTATCTACAACCAACTGACACAATAAATGCATTATATTGGCAGTATATACATGGCGGGTATATACCTACCTTCGTGCGCGACCCGCAGTACATTCTCGGACTCTACGGTACAACATGACTCATTGAATCGGTACTCTGGCTCGTCACACCATTGAAGCGAGGGGTTTGCAATTGCCGGCGCTGCGATAGGACCAAGATAGGGTTTAGGCAGTATATTCCAGGATAGAGACACATGTATAGGGGTATCTGAAGTGACTGAAATCAGGGAAATTCCTGAGGTGTTGCACTCCAAGTGAATGTACTTATATGTCGAAGAACGCACAGACAGAACTTAAAAACCAGAGGATAAAGTTAATGTTCATACTGCGCCTATAGAAAAGGCTATGTTCCTTGGTCAAAAAAGCTATGTGCAACATACTACTGCTATTTGTTCCGCTGTTAAATATACCACGCATGTCCCACAAATCGCCCAAATATATGTATAGTGACAGATGAGATACGTACGTATGTAGTAACATGTATACTATGTGCACCGATAAGCATGTACATGTGCACCCATGCACACGTACAAACATACACATAATCACAGAGACACAGACACACAAACACACACAAACACACAAACACACACACACAAACACACACACACATACAAACGTGTAAATACAATCACATACATAAGCGTGTACGTGTACAAACACACACACACAAATGTGGACACACACAAACACACACAAAGATATAGGCTTACATAGATGCCCACAGACACCCACAGATCCTCACCCCCTCCCTTCCCTCTCTCCCTTTCGCACGGGATAGGTGTTGTTCGAAACGATTATACCAAACAATAACCGAATGCAACCATGAGTGATCGCCTACCTGTGAAATCCTGGCAGAGTGGATGCCCTACTACGAAGGACGTTAAAACCAGAGGTACCAACAGGTATACAGACACACTTAAGCATCGCAACATCATTCTGGATATAACGTAAGCGCTACTGACATGGAACCATAATCTCGGAATGTTTTTATGCAATACAATAATAATATAAACAATACATAAGATGGTAGAAAAATGCACATGCTATCGCATTGGTTTACAGTTAAAAAACGTCAATTGTTACATGAATGTAGCGGCAAGAATGAGTGAATTTTATACGTTATAACGTATAAAAGATGTACTGCTTACTCGGGAACTACATACACCCAGTTAAAATCACGATGGTACGAAAATAGCATAAACGTTTGCTATAACAAACGGTTTGACGAGAGTGATTATGTAATGATAAAGATCATGACCGATAAATTACGCTCATGCGGAGTAGATTTTGTTCAAATTAGGTGACATAAAAACATGACACATCGCTCCACTGTAAAGCACTATAGTTACATTCCTTACCCTCGATTGGTTGCTAGGGGGTTTAACCTTTTTCCTCCTCACCAATTGTGTTGTTTATTTACGTAAGCCATAGGCCATAAGGCTGTTCTATGTTTTAACATCAATTTCGACAAAGTAAGCCTTAATTGCGAACCAATGTATGGTATGACGGTATAACCGACTTTTTATATGTCTAACATATTGGATTCCTGAGGTTGTGCACTGTATTGGATTTGGTTCTTCACACGTCGGTGTTCTATTTATAACGGTAGACCATTTTTCAGGGTGAGAACATACAAGTAGTGTAGTCGAGTGGTGCTCTAAATACATATACGCACACTTATCCAAATTAATCGAAGATGCGTACTTTCTGGGCTTTGATAAATGGTTGTGCCAAAATACGAACACAGTGGGTGGTGCTGTTTTTAGCGTTGCTGATATGCATCAACTTTGTCATCGATGGAAGCATATCGCCTTTCTCGTCAACCACATCGCACAAGCGAATACCGCGCTTGACTATCAAGCATGGTTTGCCGGACAGGCCTGGACCGCTAAACAAAAGTAAGGCTATCCTCTGGATTTAAATTCAATTTTCTAACAATCACCAATGACACAAATTCATGTGTTATTGACTGGTCGCCAGATTCGTAACATTTGATACTTCCCGTCACCTTTTAAATCAGTGCTGTATGTGTAGCACTTTTTCTTCATGCTCAGAGTTGAATCTGGTTTACACCATATTGAGTGTTCCTTTCTGCGCTTGCGCGTTATGCGGGGTAGTTCACTCAGCTTCAGGTCGGGAAAGTAGTTATTGTAAAATCTATCAGTATCCGTACAGTAGAATACGCAATCACACTCATTGATTTTTATAGCTCATGTACACATATGGAAACATACACGGAGACACACACACACACGCACACATACCCACGAACAGACAAACACACACACACACACACACACACACACACACACACACACACTACAT